TTTTTTTTTTTGGCTTTTGCCGTAAATGGATGGATTTGGTTTCGACTCTAAATATGATTGGTTTGGTGGGGCCTACATTATATGCGATAAGAAATTCTATAAATAACATTTAGATTATTGCATTCTATAACTTAAATAAAACTTTTATTTTACTTTTGTTAGGCGTGAATTTGAAAATTTTAAACTTTGCCCATTTAAATTGGCCTTCCTTTATTGTGCCAATAACTCTTTAAAATAAAAAGATATTTTGACTATAATTTATGTGAAATGGTTATATAAATTTCTTTATTGCCCTATTAAATATGTAAACATTAACCGCTATACTATTAAAATTAATAGCTATACTTATTTTATTCTATTCTTTGTCTTTTTTTTTTTTTTTTTTTTTTGCTTTTTTTTTTTTTTCTTTTTGATTTTAAATAAATATATTTAAGAATTATGACATTAAATAAATGAATGCATAACTGATAATATGCATGTTATTAAGCTCTCCCTCCCTCATTCTTTGTAATTATCTTATCTTTAGGCTTCATCTTTGTTATTGTCTTGCATCCTTTGCTCATTAAAATTTTAGATTCTCTTTGAGCATATTCTATGTACTTAACAATCACTCTAGTTGTCTAATAAATAACGTTCTCTGGCTTAAGAACAAAATATGACTTTAAAAAATTTCTTAGGCAAAATTACCTTTATGACCAAAAGAATACGCTGTTCCCAATATGTGGTTCGCTTTGGGACAACTTCTCTTTGTTGCTTCTATAATACATGTTTCTCTATTACAAAACGTTTCAGTTAAAAAAATTCCAATACTATAACAGTCATGTTTAGACAATCAGTTGTGAAGACTGTCACCCAAAGAAAACTTAAGAACTCTCAACTTTATACAGCTTGCTTGTAGAAAATCGAGCCCGTTCCACCGCACACCCGGAAGACACAACCCCCAAGGAGCCCCCCCACCGCGCGGCGCCGCCCCCCCCAGCGGCGGCCGGCGGGGCCAGACCCCGGCGAAAGGCATCCCCGCGCGCCCGCCTCGCCGCAGGGCCCGGACCCTTTCTAAAATATACCTATAATATATATACACTACACTGATATATTTATACTAGCCCTCTATATATTATTTATATTTTAAAAAAAAAAAAAAAAACAAAAAAAAACAACAAAAAAGAGTGTGATGCGTAGAAGTGAGAAATTAAATTATAATTTGAAAAAATAAGAAGTAAGAAATGCCTCAAAGCATTCTTAAATCCCATCAGATTTTTTTTTACCATACTTTTCCTTCATAAAAAACTATCACTCAAATTAATTTTTTTATGTCATGAGATCAACAAAGTATTAGAATTATATATAAATTAGCAATATATATTATTGAAATATTTTAAGGTGCCTATTTAGAGTGATAAGTGTGAAATTATTGTATAAGCTAATTTCAATTATAGCTGCACAGATTGCTACAATTTATGGTTTATGCACTTAATTTGTCTTTAATCAACTTGCTTATTCTGTTAAAAAATAAAATAATTAAAAAAAAAAAAAAAACAGAAAACAGTGACATAAAAACAAATGAGAATCACCACGATGTTACCGCAAATGTCACATGCTTCTCTAGCTGTTTTGTAGCCTTGGAACAAATTTATCTTAAATGTTATTATGTCTTAATTCATTATAACTTTCTCATTTCATGCATTAGAAATTTTCTCTCAGTATTGAAACAAAAGTTGACCTGGAAGGCAGTACTCTTCTACAAGACAGACGCCCCTGCATCGGTGCCCAACCCGCACGACCTGACATCCAATAATAATTGGGGTATGAGGTACGCCCGTGATATGACCGTCTTTGTAGGGCTGGTTAAGAGTGCGCGGCGATGCTACTTACACGATGCGACAAATCTATAGTAAAGGATACACTCTCTTACATCATCGGTATCACTACGGCCCCCCCTTCTATATGATCACTTCAATCCTCAATGTACTAATTATCAGTAGCGCTGCGCAACAACTTAACCATCTAGCTGCGACTACGGTAAACTTTTAATATCGCAGGCTTGGAGATTAGCCAATCAGAGAACCTAACAGGGACCAACGCGGCTGAGGATTCGATTCCTCCAATGCCCACAGTAGTGGTAGACTACGTTCACACAAGCATGAAAGTGGGTGGGTATGTGGGATACATGGCCATCCCGCAAAGTCACCATGCGGATGTGTGTGGGTGGACGAGGACACCGCTTCTAAGCTGTAAAGCAATGAGGTAGTCCCGATGATCGAGCCATACCCAATGCTAGGACTTTGAACTATTAAGGCTTCTTCCTTATTGTTTTCTAAAGTAGATTTATTACACAGAAAACTTTGACATGATAAATAGTTGCAAAAACAATTTCTTTCCACTCAAATGTCGGTGTGTTTAAGAAAAACCTGTCCAAAATGAAGCCCTAAGCGTGCCAATCAGTACCCAAACAAAGTATTACTTGGCGATGCAAATATTCGATGTCATAAATGTGATGCAAATTTGGCCACAATGGGAAAGGGTCGAATCAGAATCAAACAATATGAAGTTTTTCTTCCTTTGCAACCATCACTTGTACGTCACTCAAATCGCAAATCAGAAAAGTATCGTTGTTGGGTCACCTAAATCTCATGTAATTTTCAGGTGCGAATAAATTCATGATTTTATGCAACTATCAAGAGTAAGCAAGTCCAATAATCGAATTAAGCTTTTGTTTGGGACCGTTGGTCTTTTACGCCCCTTTACTCATTGCTAAAACACGGAGATTTCTCCAAACAGAAGTTACCTACTAGTGTTCAAAAAAACTTTACATGCTAAGAATGATTTTAAAAAGCAATAATGAAACAAAAACGTACTCAATCAACAAAGTTTATGGCCTAAATACCTGATGCGAGTAGACGTTAGGCCGCCAAAAGTGCATTTGAAAAATAAATTTCCAACTGTCTGAGCTCGATCATATTAGCTCAATATCAAATGCAATTAATATTGAGATGTTTAACTATAACGGCGAGCCCGCCTAAAATGATCCTAAATATTAATATAGTTATGGTTAGATTTCTCTGGATTTATCTCGACGAAAATAATCCAAAGCGCCCAACGAATGCTGAATTTCCACAACTCTCATCTATGGAAACTCAACGGTTCAAACTTATAGCCTTAATTCAAGATAGATCACTAGCATAACTTACCAAGTATACATGTTGCGAATTTTTGGCTTAGATTCTAATAGCCGGAGGCGGCAGGTCACCAAATATTTTTCAAACTATAAATATAATATATATATAAGACTATAAATGTAAAAATATATATTAGATATAAGAGGTAATAGAAGAAAAATATATGTAGATACTAAAATATATATAATGTATATATAGTACAATATATCCAATTGCTGTCTCGATAAAAAAACAGGGCCCCCTGCTGACCTCCATTATGTCTTAATTTTCACCTGCTGACTCGACACGTGATGGATCGCCTGAGCATTCACAATATGGCCACCAAATAGTAGCAGCTAACCATTGTCCATGACCATTAATGAATGCTATCCCTCACCACCATCGAACCACTGTCACTTGACTCATCACTAGTAATAGTTAGTAATTTTACACAATTACATTAAAATTGTTGGGTCATTATACGTCCTAAATCACAATCTGTGCCTTCGCCCCCAAAAATAGATATTCATATAATTTAATTACACTATGACTCTTTTTCATAAGATCCAATATTGGAACTGTGTAGAATAACTTTTTATGAAAATATGGAATATATATCTGGCGTAAAGTGGAGATTTAGGACCGTCAGCGTCATCATTGTTTAAAAACACCGATTTTAGTTCGAAACATTGGTTAATAAAACAAGCTATTCTAATATGAAAAAGCAATATTCTATCGGCAGTTTTAAAGGATGAATACACTACTATTAAATTTTATACTAAATTTAAAATTAAATATAATTGATTATAATTATCTTATTTTATTTAAAAATCTTATCCCTCATCGAACATCATCTTCCTCGTAAATCATTTATAATCCTTAGGCTCAAAGTGAGAAGCGGGCGAATAGATGAAAGGAAAAATATTATAAAAAGAGAAATAAGAGCAGAAGACAAAATAGAGGCTTGATCCAAATTTGGAAGTCATAAAGCCTTTTAAGACGTTAAATATGATATTTCTCTACCGCCGCGAATACTCCAGGACGCAACAATATGCTATATATTACATTTTTTTTTTAAATTAAGCAAGAAAAATAAAGAAAAAAAGCTTAATTAAACTCTCATGAAAAACATGAAAGAGAATATTATAACTAAATGTGAAGAAATATATAAATATTTTAGGGCTAAGTTAGGACAAAAGAAATTTTTAGGGGGGGATAAAAATAATTTTTTATGAGGGGCAAAAGAGTTTTTTACTCTCCTATATATAAAAAAAAATTATTTACTCTTATAAAATTTTTTTTTTTTTTTTAGGGGGGGCAATTGCCCCCCCTAAGAATTGTATGGCTCCGCCAGTGCCCATGGCCTTGTGGGTGGGTATGGGTGTGTACTTAACATCGAGGGATAAATCAATTTATATTGTTAATCACCGTATATCTTATATTACTTCAATCCTCACTATGTAGTGTGCAACACTTAACCGCACTAGCTGCGACTATGGTAAATTTTAATATGCAGCTTGAAAGTTTACAATCAGAGCAAAGAACAACAAGCCTCAATGCCATCAATTAGTGATAGACTACGTTCAACAAGCATTGAAAGTGGGTGGGTATAGGTGGGTACGGCATCCCGAAAGTCACCATGGGTGGGTGTGGGTGGACGAAGCCTGTCTAAGTAAAGCATGGATACCCAATGGGTATTCAACCATGCATCCATGTAGGACTTTGCCATTAAGGCTTCT